TGTGTCGACGCTCTGTGTGGACCCCTGCTGAAACTATTCACCCTATCCATTAACTCTACATGCTTCCCCCTATCTGGAAGGAAACTTTTATTATTCCGTTCCATAAGAAAGGTAGCAAGACTGATGCAAATAATTATAGAGGTATATCTAAGTTATCCGCTATTCCTAAAATGTTTGAAAAAATTTTAACTCCGCATTTGCAACATCTCTGCAAGGTAACTTGCAGACGGATGTCATTTACACTGATTTTAGAAAAGCATTCGATTCTGTAAACCATTCCCTTTAAGCACAAAAACTTGCCCCTTTAGGGTTTCCGCCTAATCTTTTGAGATGGATTTCTAGCTACCTTCGTTCTAGGTCTCAAAGATTCCTTTTCAAAAACTCCTTCTCTTCACCTGTTAAGGTTGCTTCTGGAGTACCACAGGGCAGCCATCTAGGCCCCCTACTATTCACACTCTTTATTAATGATCTGCCTTCAGTATTCACAAACAAACGAGTACTCATGTATGCGGATGATGTTAAGCTTTGTGTCCAGTATAAGGACATTTCATTTCACTCTCGCTTGCAATCCGATCTCAATAACTTTTAATCATGGTGTTGTGCAAATATGTTACCCCTAAATGCCTCGAAATGCAAAGTAATGACATTTCATCGCTCCAGCCCCCTATTGGCTCCTTATAGCCTCTGCGGTGGTTCTCTTGAGAGAATTACCTTGGTTGATGATCTTGGTGTTAAATTAGATCCAAAGTTAAAGATTTCTGAACACATTTCTACCATGGTAAATAAGGCCATGGGTGTGCTTGGGTTTATAAAGAGGTGGTCAAAGGAATTTGACGACCCCTATATAACGAAGACTCTCTACATCTTTTACTTTATGCTCTGCGTGGCCTTAACTGGGATGCAGGTGTGAGACTGCCATCTTATCCTCGTAGATTGCCTTTACTAAACCTTCCAACCTTAGTTAGTCGTAGAAAAATGCTTGGTGTGATTTTTATGCACAACCTGATCAAGGGTGACGTAGATAGCCCTGACTTGTTGAGCCGCATAAACTTTACGATTCCTATTAGATCTACTAGAAACTTCATTCCTTTGTTCCTTTCGCTTTGTAGATCGAATTATTCCTTGCACGAACCATTTAGGGTCCTTTGCTCGGACTTCAATTCCCTCTACCACATAATATCAACTACTAATTCCCTTCCTCTTCTTAAATCACTAATACTAACATACCTTTCCCGTAATTAGTTATATTTTTTAGCTATCTTTGCATGTTTAGCTCTTTGAGTTGTGTTTAGCTCTAATTTTGCTCGAATTTTAGTCTAACACCTATCTTTCCTGCATGCTCGCGATCGGTCATGCGGCAGCGCCCCTCGGTCGGTTGGGTGGGAGGAGGGCTGGGTTTCTGCCTGGGTTCCGCGCGTATCAGGCTTCGGCTTGGTGTCGCATGGGCCACTTGATGGTGCAGTCATTGCATATCAACGTCCAGACAAAAAAAATAAAATAAAAAATTCGCTCTTGGCGAATTCGCCCCGCTTCGCCGCCCTAGATAAGTTAGGCTTAAGAATATTTTATAACGAATATGAAAATAAGTCGAAACATAGTATTGAAGTCGAGAGCACGTCCCCTTTTTGAGTCTTTCGTCGAAATATACAGAATTTGCAGCCACCAAACTCGGTTTTTTTTTGTTAAATTTGAATTTAGAACAAATATTCTAAAATTTCATGGCGCCCCCGGGTGGACTCGCAAATTAGTATAGTTTAAAGGCAGAAAGTGACAGTGACACGAGTGGTGAAATATATATGTAAAACACATATTGAATATTTTAAGTGTATATAATATACCCCTGCCCGCGTCGCGTGTGTGTGCAGCAGATCAACCCCTAATTTCACACCTAAAGCTACCGCGCCGGTCGGCTAACAAGCATACACCCCAAAAATACCCAGAGATCTCAACCGCCGAGGGATATCCATTCCTAAAGACGTTTGCCACCTTCCAAGGAAAGTGGAATTCCCAGTATCCCATCTTATATACATACATAGAGGTATTTGTGCAAAAAAATTTAAAGCTCGAGCAAAGACAAAATCATTAAAATCTCGCAGTTACTGTCTTGTGCTAAAATAAGTGCACCTCGCTTTCAATTCTTGGTACATCCGTATGACATAGTAGAGCTCGATTTGCATTTATGTAGTAGAGTTTGTACATATATTACATATATCACATATTCACATACATCAAACCATCTTGGCCGCAGAACATACATACGTATAATTTATAACTGCAATCACTGTCGCCCCTTTCTTCCTTTCTCGTTTTCGTTGCGCAAATATATAGTTTGGTCATTGGCCAAGCGCACACATACGAACATAGCAGCTGCAGCGGTGAATTTTCGTTCTCGCCTTTGCTCGTCGCCGTTGCTGACCGTCGTTGCTATTGGTGTGTTCTTTCGTTTGGCGCGTTTGAGTCAAACCATTCGCCAAGCGACGCGCTACCCTGTTATCGTCGGGTATATAGTTTTGGTGCCAAGGCTCCAACTGTCAATTTGTCAAAGCGTGCCTCGCAATTCAATTTGGTGTCTATCGGTCGGTCAGCCAGGACCAGAATACACAAGCGCCAACACAGCTTAGACACACACACATGTGCATATGTTTCGTTTTCTCTTTCGCTTGTCACCGTTGCTGTTAGTTGTTGTTCTTGTTGTTTTGTGTTGGCACGCCTGCGCCAACAGATCGCCAAGTGCCTCGATACCCTTTAATAGGCGGGTATATCGGTTTTTTGCCGCATTTGGCATCGACACCCTAGGTCCGTATTAAACAGATCGCCAAGTGCCTCGATACCCTTTAATCGTCGGGTATATCGATTTTTCGCCTCATTTGGCTTCAACACCCTAGACCGTATTAAACCGATCGCTAAGTGGTTTGATACCCTCTAGTCGCCAGGTATATTGTTTTCGACTTAATTTGGGTACACATTCCTGTTCGTGAGAAAAGCCCTGATTAGTAATTCACTTAAGTATCGAGAGTCAAGATGAATCCAAAATCAGATCAAAAATCTATTCTTGTAGAGCTGAAAAAGAAGCTCAGCTCCCGTGTCAAAGGCATTTGCCGACTAGCGGACCGGCTGGAAGATGGGGAGATTCCGCTGCAGTTGACAGAGCTCGAGTGCAGACTCGATGTACTGAAAGCAACCATAGCCAAGGCAAGCGAAGTTCAAGAATCAACCGAAGAAATATATAGTGACGATGAGTTTGGAGCCGAGTTGGAAGAACTCTCGATTTTAACCAAGGCAAAGATAACGTCGCGTATCGACGCCTTGAAAACAGCCAGCGATACAATACAAGTATCAGCTTCTGTTGCTCCAACTCGTGCTCGACTTCCGAAGTTAGCTCTGCCAAAGTTCAGTGGCAAATATTCGGAATTCAAAAGCTTCATTAGTTTATTTGAGACTCTTGTTCACAATGACGAAAGCATTCCAATTATCGAAAAGTTTAACCACTCCCTTTCATGCCTCTCTGGTGAAGTGTTGGGAACGGAGAGGGCGTTCCAAGTAATATGAGAAAGCCATGGCCAGCTTAAAACGGGTCTATGATACCGAATGTGTGATCTTTATGAACCATATTGCTGCCCTATTTAGTCTTCCCAAAATGACCCAGCAATCTGCATCGTCCTGAAGGAACCTAATCGATACCACTTCATCGATATTTGGTTCCTTGTTGTCAATAGGCGATTAGCAAAAGATCTCAAATGCAAATGCATCTCGTCTTCAACAGAGTCGATCCTGTGACCAAACGAAAATGGGAAGAACAGCTCGATGGGCTGACTGCGAAAAAATGCTTAATCGCAGATATCAGCATCTTTCCGCCGAAGAATCGGCAAAACCAAAGCAGGAGCAGAAAGCTGTGCCAAGCAAGCCTCACAATCGGAGCTCATTCGCGTGCTCTACTGCGAATGCTAAAAACCAAAAATGTAGTTACTGCAATGCAAAAGACCATTTGTTGACTACTTGCAGTCCATTTGCGCGGCTTGCAGTGATGCAAAGATTCGAATTTGTCAAATCGGCATCGCTCTGCATCAACTGTCTGCAACAAGGACACACTGTGGTACGATGCAAAGCTAGCAAGTGTCGAGTGTGTGGCCGCTCACATCATGCCTGACAGGCGGGCCGCTCATCGCACCCCCAGCACCCCGGACCCCGGACCAGGAGGGTCTGAGTTGCTTAAGGCGATGGCGGCTTGTCTCGTCAGCCAGGCGAATTTTCTGGCAACGATGGTCCCGGGAGTATGTGCTGGGCTTGCAAATAAGATGCAAGTGGCACCAGTGGCAGCCCAACGTCGAGGAAAGCGACCTCGTCATCGTCGCAGAGGATAACCTTCCGCCCCAACAGTGGCTCCTCGGAAGGGTCGTCGCAACACACGCTGAGCAGGACGGAAAGGTCAGGGTGGTCGACCTCAGGACGAGCAGCGGAGCGGTCTACAGGAGGCCAATACATAAGTTGACGCTTCTGCCGATGGGTTGAAGTCCCACAGGCCTTCAACGGGGCCGGTGTCGCGTCACGACGCTAAGTTTATATTTTGGTAAAATTTGAAGTCTAGTGTAAGATAGTTTAGGGCGAAGCGGGAGCGCAATAAAGCTCTCTCTCGCTCTTGGCGAATTCGCCCCGCTTCGCCGCCCTAGATAAGTTAGGCTTAAGAATATTTTATAACGAAAATGAAAAGAAGTCGAAAAATAGTATTGAAGTCGAGCGCACGTCCCTTTTTTGAGTCTTTCGTCGAAATATACAGAATTTGCAGCCACCAAACTCGATTGTTTGTTGTTAAATCTTAATTTAGAAAAAATATTCTAAAATTTTAATTATGCTATTGATTGTGAATTTATTATAATTTAAAATGTACTATTTGACAATTGGTTTAGCCGTGGTTCAACAACAAAATATGTTGTTGCAAAAATTTTTACTGACTTTGGACAGAAAGCAAAGCAACATAGATGAATTCGAGGAAGAAGAGTTCATTGCAATGCTAAATTTTTTTAATACAAAAATGTCAAGAAGGAATAATTATTGACTCAAAGCTGGAGGAGGCCGGCGATCTGCACCGCTTCCTGCGCGATCTCGATCACTTCCAGACGTGGCTGACCAAGACCCAGACGGACGTGGCCTCCGAGGAAACGCCCACGACGCTGCCCGAGGCCGAGAAGCTGCTGAACCAGCACCAGTCGTTCTGTTTTGCGCGCTTGGTCGGGGGCGCACTGGCCGCAGAAATGATGCTTCCGGCCACTCCATGTCGAGCCCTGCCTCCTTCATGGACTGGGCCATATCCTTATATATATGGAAATTTACGTGGTCCCCGAAAATCGTCAATGCTTTCCTGCCCGACATCCATAAACCTGCTGCCTGCTTCATCTCAGCAGACCACTTCAACCAGCCACCAGCTGTTAATTTGTTTGCTGCATTGTTGTGTAGTATTGATGGTATTCTTATAAATTAAAATTTATTTTTTAAACTTACCAAAGCCATTTTATGCTCTTTCATTTTTATTTAAAAATTGTTGTTTGATTGCTCGTTGTTTTCCTGAGTGCTGATGGATTGTGTTTTTGTTTTTCCCCATTTTCTTATCTGTCATTGTTTACATTTTCGTTGTGAGTTCCGATTTTTTGTTGTGAATGTCAAATATTTATGGTTGCCTTTGAAAATTATCGAAAAAATACCGCACAGAAACGCGCGAATTAGGAACATCCCAGATGGATAGTGGAATAACTGGGAAATTTTCGGAACTCCGCTCCTCCACCAGCTGCTCAGGGAACGATGCCAGCCGCTCCAGCTGGGCTCTGGCCTGAGCGACCACCGGCGCAGGTTAAGCTCAATAAGAAGGAGCAATTCCAGCGATTAACCCACAATATGTAGCAACCAGCACCACGATGGCTCATAACCGACCATAAATAGGAAGCGCACCTCTGAGATTAAGACAAAATTTCTTAAAATACGCACAAAAATAATCATTTCTACATTTGAAAGCTTATTATTTCTAAAAAAGAAAGCTTAAACCACAATGTGTTTGGGTCAAATTCATACAAGCAGTCGGTGCAACCAACGCTACACACAGGTGAAGATATCCACACCAACGAATTCGAGGACGCAGCACAGGTCGAAAGACGTCGACCGAAGAAAGAAAGAAAAGCGAGGACTCAGCACACGTGCGGCCAATCGATGGAAAGGAGCTGGCCAAGATTATATAAACAACCCCCACCGCAGCAAAACCAAGTAACCAAAGCTCTCAAATGACGATATCAACACCCAACAAAATTAAAACTTAGCACACGCGACACCAAAATCCACGAAAATGGGAACAGCAAGAGACAAAATAAAGAAAAATAACTACCAACCTCAGCACATACGCGGCCGGCAGCCAGGAAAACCGAGAACCGCGGAACATGCCAAAAGACAGGGCACCGGCACAAGGGGGCTTACGCAATAAGTATCGAAAATAATAAATTAAATATTCCTAAAAATATATCCGAAGTTCCAACCAAAATTCTTTACCCACGGTACCGGTGCACACTGATCACCATACCTAGGACATTGGACACTTATTGGGAGGCGATTTCGTTAGGTAACCCTCTGTTACCGGGCAATCCACTCGGCAATATATATTTATGTAAGAACATTCAAAAATTTCGGAATAAGATATCTGTAAATTGGTGGGAAAATCGATGACCGGCCAATCCATAAAAGGGCACTGCCTGGCATGGAGACGAGGCAGTCCATCAGGAGTCAAGAAATAACATACACGTCGCGGCCAATCAGTCTAACTAACCAAGTAGCATAATAACCCGAAACAATAGAGAAACCGATTAAAAATTCAAACAACCAAAAAGTGTGATGATTTGGCTATTCATTCTATTTCAGTTGCTGGCAAAGTTCCTGGTTTTCCCAATAAAGTCCTCGTGAATTATAAATGTCTTGTAATTCAGGACCCTGGACAGGCTGAAGCATATCCCAGCCTGAGATAGTTCCTCACAAGCTGCATCAATTAGCTTTTCAAAATGGCAAAGCTAAATCAAATGATTTAGCGGAGATAATCGAGGGATACTCGTCACACATCAAGCTGCTAAGAGTGTTCGTTTACGTGTTCCGTCATTGAAGTCACTCCGTCACCAGTAGAGTACGATGAGGCTTTTCACAAAATTGTCAAGCTGATCTAGAAAAACGAGTATCAGGAAGATATCGAAAGGGTTCGTAAAGGCACCAGGTTAGGCCCCAGTCTTGAGCGATTGAATCCCTTCATCAACGAAGAAATGGGCACTTGGTGCTCTTTTTCGTTGTTGCGAGTTGAGGGGCTACTAGTTAACGCTCCTATGTCATACCATGCCAAGTTTCCGCTGCTGTTGACAAAACGCTCGCAGTTTGTGCAGACCTATGTTCGCTATCTGCATCAAACGAATTTTCATGCCGGCTCACGAGCACTTGTGAGCATCCTTAGGCAGCGTGTTTGGATTATGTGGTGTTGATTTTTGTGGCCCAGTCTATACGACACTAAAAAATTCGTGGAAGGCCCCCTTATAAGTCCTACATAGCGTTATTTGTCTGTTTTGCGTCCAAGGCAGTTCATCTATAAATTGTCTCCGATCTAACGACTAACTCCTTCTTATTGGCTTTTCAAAGGTTCGTTGGTCGTCGAGGATGTCCGCTCCGCGTGAACTGCGATAACGCGACCAATTTCGTCGGAGCAAGTCGCCACTTCGACGAGCTGAGGAGGACGCTAGAGACGGAAGCGGACGCAATTCGAGAGTTCGCAGCGAGAAGCGGCTGCGAGTTCGCCTTCCTGCCACCTCGAGCTCCGCACATGGGCGGACTGTGGGAGGCAAGAGTGAAGTCGGCCAAAAACCTCTTACTGAGGTCGGCCGGAAGCGCGCTCTTCACCGCAGAGGAGCTGGAGAGCGTGATGGTGGGCATCGAGGCGGTGCTCAACTCGCGCATTTTGGGATCAATAAGCCCCGACCCAAGCGACGGAGACGCCCTGACTCCCGGGCACCTGCTGACAGGCGGGCCGCTCATCGCACCCCCAGCACCCCGGACCCCGGACCAGGAGGGTCTGAGTTGCTTAAGGCGATGGCGGCTTGTCTCGTCAGCCAGGCGAATTTTCTGGCAACGATGGTCCCGGGAGTATGTGCTGGGCTTGCAAATAAGATGCAAGTGGCACCAGTGGCAGCCCAACGTCGAGGAAAGCGACCTCGTCATCGTCGCAGAGGATAACCTTCCGCCCCAACAGTGGCTCCTCGGAAGGGTCGTCGCAACACACGCTGGGCAGGACGGAAAGGTCAGGGTGGTCGACCTCAGGACGAGCAGCGGAGCGGTCTACAGGAGGCCAATACATAAGTTGACGCTTCTGCCGATGGGTTGAAGTCCCACAGGCCTTAAACGGGGCCGGTGTCGCGTCACGACGCTAATTTTATATTTTGGTAAAATTTGAAGTCTAGTGTAAGATAGTTTAGGGCGAAGCGGGAGCGCAATAAAGCTCTCTCTCGCTCTTGGCAAATTCGCCCCGCTTCGCCGCCCTAGATAAGTTAGGCTTAAGAATATTTTATAACGAAAATGAAAAGAAGTCGAAAAATAGTATTGAAGTCGAGCGCACGTCCCTTTTTTGAGTCTTTCGTCGAAATATACAGAATTTGCAGCCACCAAACTCGATTAAATCTTAATTTAGAAAAAATATTCTAAAATTTTAATTATGCTATTGATTGTGAATTTATAATAATTTAAAATGTACTATTTGACAATTGGTTTAGCCGTGGTTCAACAACAAAATATGTTGTTGCAAAAATTTTTACTGACTTTGGACAGAAAGCAAAGCAACATAGATGAATTCGAGGAAGAAGAGTTCATTGCAATGCTAAATTTTTTTAATACAAAAATGTCAAGAAGGAATAATTATTGACTCAAAGCTGGAGGAGGCCGGCGATCTGCACCGCTTCCTGCGCGATCTCGATCACTTCCAGACGTGGCTGACCAAGACCCAGACGGACGTGGCCTCCGAGGAAACGCCCACGACGCTGCCCGAGGCCGAGAAGCTGCTGAACCAGCACCAGTCGTTCTGTTTTGCGCGCTTGGTGGGGGCGCACTGGCCGCAGAAATGATGCTTCCGGCCACTCCATGTCGAGCCCTGCCTCCTTCATGGACTGGGCCATATCCTTATATATATGGAAATTTACGTGGTCCCCGAAAATGCTTTCCTGCCCGACATCCATAAACCTGCTGCCTGCTTCATCTCAGCAGACCACTTCAACCAGCCACCAGCTGTTAATTTGTTTGCTGCATTGTTGTGTAGTATTGATGGTATTCTTATAAATTAAAATTTATTTTTTAAACTTACCAAAGCCATTTTATGCTCTTTCATTTTTATTTAAAAATTGTTGTTTGATTGCTCGTTGTTTTCCTGAGTGCTGATGGATTGTGTTGTTGTTTTTCCCCATTTTCTTATCTGTCATTGTTTACATTTTCGTTGTGAATTCCGATTTTTTGTTGTGAATGTCAAATATTTATGGTTGCCTTTGAAAATTATCGAAAAAATACCGCACAGAAACGCGCGAATTAGGAACATCCCAGATGGATAGTGGAATAACTGGGAAATTTTCGGAACTCCGCTCCTCCACCAGCTGCTCAGGGAACGATGCCAGCCGCTCCAGCTGGGCTCTGGCCTGAGCGACCACCGGCGCAGGTTAAGCTCAATAAGAAGGAGCAATTCCAGCGATTAACCCACAATATGTAGCAACCAGCACCACGATGGCTCATAACCGACCATAAATAGGAAGCGCACCTCTGAGCTTAAGACAAAATTTCTTAAAAAATTACGCACAAAAATAATCATTTCTACATTTGAAAGCTTATTATTTCTAAAAAAGAAAGCTTAAACCACAATGTGTTTGGGTCAAATTCATACAAGCAGTCGGTGCAACCAACGCTACACACAGGTGAAGATATCCACACCAACGAATTCGAGGACGCAGCACAGGTCGAAAGACGTCGACCGAAGAAAGAAAGAAAAGCGAGGACTCAGCACACGTGCGGCCAATCGATGGAAAGGAGCTGGCCAAGATTATATAAACAACCCCCACCGCAGCAAAACCAAGTAACCAAAGCTCTCAAATGACGATATCAACACCCAACAAAACTTAGCACACGCGACACCAAAATCCACGAAAATGGGAACAGCAAGAGACAAAATAAAGAAAAATAACTACCAACCTCAGCACATACGCGGCCGGCAGCCAGGAAAACCGAGAACCGCGGAACATGCCAAAAGACAGGGCACCGGCACAAGGGGGCTTACGCAATAAGTATCGAAAATAATAAATTAAATATTCCTAAAAATATATCCGAAGTTCCAACCAAAATTCTTTACCCACGGTACCGGTGCACACTGATCACCATACCTAGGACATTGGACACTTATTGGGAGGCGATTTCGTTAGGTAACCCTCTGTTACCGGGCAATCCACTCGGCAATATATATTTATGTAAGAACATTCAAAAATTTCGGAATAAGATATCTGTAAATTGGTGGGAAAATCGATGACCGGCCAATCCATAAAAGGGCACTGCCTGGCATGGAGACGAGGCAGTCCATCAGGAGTCAAGAAATAACATACACGTCGCGGCCAATCAGTCTAACTAACCAAGTAGCATAATAACCCGAAACAATAGAGAAACCGATTAAAAATTCAAACAACCAAAAAGTGTGATGATTTGGCTATTCATTCTATTTCAGTTGCTGGCAAAGTTCCTGGTTTTCCCAATAAAGTCCTCGTGAATTATAAATGTCTTGTAATTCAGGACCCTGGACAGGCTGAAGCATATCCCAGCCTGAGATAGTTCCTCACAAGCTGCATCAATTAGCTTTTCAAAATGGCAAAGCTGATTACAACCAAATGTAAGATACTTAAGTTATGTGTAAAAAGAGGCGCTAAAAACCAATCAAGTTTGCTAATGAGTGTAAAAAAGAGGTGGAAATAAGGGGGCGAAAACAGCTGAGTCAATCAAATATTTAAAAAAAATATCGGTAGCCTAACGTGTATTGGTAATCGAATCCAACAAAAAAGTTTGAATTTGTTTCTATTTTAAAATTTTACTTTTATTCCGCTAGATTGGCTTTTTTGCCCGGTGTTCGGCAGAGGAGGTTACCACAAATCCTCTTCCTCTACCCAAGGGAACCGCCCCTGGCAGTCTTTCTCCTGGGATGTTCGTTCCTATTTTGTACCCGTTGGGCATCCATCGTCGTCCTCGCGCTTCCTTGCCCCAGCCTGCTGCTTATAGACGTACTGGCGGTGGCACTCCTCGGACCTCTTCTGGCGATCTTTCTCGGCCTCAGCTCCTCCTTTGCGGCTGTCAACGCGATCTGCCGTAGCCATTCTGCGACGCGCTTCACCTCGGCGTCTGTCGCACCGGCCCTTGCAGCCTTCTCCTCGGCCCTCACCGTTGGCACCTCGGTGCTCGTCTTGGGCTCCTTGGGCCGCTCCGCTGGCTGTTTCTGGGACTCCGACGACATCAGACCCCTCGACAGCTTCCTAGCTCCGTCTTATCTCGCTTCTCGTGGGTGCCGGCCTTCAGCTCAGCACCACCAGGTCACTTGCGGCCTCGCTGAACCCTGGGGACATGAGAGCCGACACGGTGACCTCGCCGTCGACTCGTGCAGTGATGCCAGTAGATGCAGCTCTGAGTCAGATCGCCCGTCGCTGGTTTTGGGCCTCGGAGGAATAGTATCCCTGTCGCATCAAGCTCTGTTAATCAGCTAGATATCGTATCAAATGTTGCCTCATCTTAACATTCTTCTCCAGAGATCACGTGTAAAAAGAGATGTTTGTTCCTTTTGCTCTCCTTTTTATGGTCTCGTGCCAGTGCCCATCGTTCCCTATAATGGTGCTTTACATGAGTCTCGCACTCACCGCTCTCAAGTCACTTTGGCTTTCCCTTTTATAAAGTGCCGTTTTCCCGCTACCCTGGCAATTGGTGCATTGAAAGGGTCCATCCCATTTGTGCAGTTCCTCAACTATGATTCACGGTGCAGTAGATATGGAAGCTTGTAGATTGGGTGAGCTTCATTTGTACTCTCTATTATCTAGATTTCTCTAGATGATTGTTTGCCAGGCTGTCCAGTTCTTTGGTGCGTACGAGTCTGCTTGTGGTGGGCAGCTTGTCTGTCAATGCAGATTGATATGTTCCACGGAGGTATCTCCAAGGTGTATACCAACTTTGCCGCTTGCTATACTGCATATATCTCCGCCTGGAATACACTGAACCAGTCTGGTATTCTAATATATGTTGGTTGCTAATTTCTAATAGACGATTACAGCTTATGCCCCTTCAGCAATCTTTGACCCGTCTGTGAAAATGGAGAGCTCGTTCTGCCCCAGGACCGTGTCACTCTTCCATTTCTGCCTGTCCGATATGTGTCCTTTAATGTTTCTTTTCCATGAGAACTCTGAAACACAGTAGTCACTCCACCCGGTCGTTCCACCTTCCTCCTCACGGAGTATTATGGCGTGACCATAAGGCAATGGCTTTAAGAACTGCGGCTAGTAGCGTTGCTGCACTTATCTCAGCCTTGCACATGAGATGGAGGTCTATCAGTTCCAGGCCTAGCATGGTTTCCAGAGCTGTCTGTGGGGTGGATTTGAGAGATCCGGTGACCCCAAGGCATGCCGTCCATTGGACTCTACGGAGGTTCTCCAGGTGGGATTTGGTGTAAGCCGCTTCTCACCATACCATGCCTCCGTATGTCAGGATGGGTCTTAATACCGCTGTATACATCCAGTGGATGATGCGCGGCTGTAAGCCCCATGTTCGTCCAAAATTCTTCCTACAAGTGTAGAAAGATGCCATTGCCTTTTTCTTCCTTTCCTCCGTGTTTCTCTTCCAGAAGAGTTTGGAGTCAAGGATGACACCCAGATACTTGGCTTCGCTTGATAACTCGAGTGTCGTTCCACCAATTGCTGGTAGTTTGATTCTCGGTATTTCGGTTATGCCCAGTTCAGATTCCAGAAGGTCACTTATTGTGGGCAGAAATTTACCCATTACCAGTAATAATAGATCATCCGCAAAGGCCGTGACCTCATACCCGCTCCTCCCCAGCTGAAGAAGGAGGTCGTTGAGGACCAGGTTCCACAGTAGAGGGGATATAACTCCCCCTTGCGGAGTACCTCGTGTGACCGTCTTTCTTGACGAGGAGGAGCCTAGATTGGCGCTTATCGTTCTGCTCCTGAGAACGCTGTCTAGCCATCCGGTTACCGTCGGGTGTGTGCCAATCTTGGCCAGTGAGGCCGTTATTGACTCGATCCTGACGTTGTTGAAGGCCCCCTATATCTAGGAAGGCCGCCAATGCATATTCCTTATCGCTAAGAGTCTTTTCGATATGCCCAACAACTTCGTGTAGTGCGGTGTCAACTGATCTACTTTTGAGGTTGGCGTGCTGAGCTCCACTGTACACTTGTTTGTCTAACATTAGTCGTTTCATCGCTGTTAGAAAAAATTAGGACAGACTGATGGGTCTGTAGTCCTTTGGGGAGATGTGGTTTATCTGCCCGGCCTTGGGGATGAAGACCTCGCTCACCTCCCTCCACGCATGGGGGACGTACCCAGTTAGGAGGAATCCGAAAGTTTTCTTCAGCCATGGTAGTAGGTGCAGGCAAGCTACTTTCAGCATGGATGGTCGGATATCATCCGGGCCCGATGACTTGTAGGGACTAAATGATTTAATGGCCCAGATAATCTTGTCTGGTGCCATTGCGCGGTGCCACACACCAATTTTTCAGCGGAATCAAAATCGCTCAAAATTTATCCAGCGATTTGATTAAATACAGCAATAAAACACACCTAAAAAGATTCGAATCTTACTTTCCCATAGGCCGGCAAAAATCCTCCAGCTGAACCCTCCCAGAGGGTGCCGGCTGGGCAATGGGCACTGCATTATCCCGAATCGGGTAATGCATTGCCGCTTGCTCTGTCCGGGGTAATGGTAGCCAAGGCCAGGTCCAGGTCTTCCCGACCAAAAATTTGGGGGAACTGAACCATGGCCATGGCTGGAGGTGCCTGGCGGGTAGGCATAAAACGCTAGGGGGTGGTCCCCCCGAAAAATATTAACCAGCATGGACCCTCTGGGCCAACAATGGAGCGGACGGATGATAAAGCAAGGGTTGGGATGTCAACCCAAACGTCGGTGGAAAGCGTGGCTGCTACCACCGGCGGGCACGGGGAGGAGCAATCCTCTCTGCGTGTCGCCAGCGGCCACACCTCTGATATGACGGGAGCAGGTCATATCAGTTGCAATGCTACTGCCACAAAAACGACTCACTCCAGGTTGAGCCGCACAGGTGCCGTGGTCGATACAGATTCGGACCTGGAGAGCGTGCTCTCCGTAACCAAGACGGAGGAAGACAGCCTTCTCCGCTCCCCGGAACCAGGTTCCAGCTCCCCGCGTAGGGAAGGGC